CCTAGTGGCTCTTCTCTGAACCTTCTCCAACAATTCAATGTCCTTCTTGAGGAAGGGAACCCAAAACTGTATACAGTAATCTAAATGAGGCCTAACAAGTGATCTCTACAGTGAAACAATAATATCCCTTGTCTTGTAAACAATATTTCTCTAGATTCTACCCAAAATCCTATTAGCCCTCTTGCTAGCTACAATATGCTGTTTAGATGACTTAAGTGATTATTTAATCAAAACACCAAGATCATTTTATTCAACCATAGTACTTAATATATTCCCATTTAAATTGTAACAATAACTTGAATTGTGAAAACCTACATGCGTCACCTTACATTTTTGGTAGTTAAACATCATCTGCCATGTATTGGCCCAATGCATCAAATGATCTAAATCTCTCTGTACGTCTGCAGCATCTCTGATACAGTTAGCCACCCCAAAAATCTTAATTTCACCTGCAAACTTCAAAATTTTGTTAGTCATTCCAGAGTCAATATCATTAATGTAAATCAGAAACAGCAGAGGACCCAGCACAGAGTCTGGAGGCACACTGCTTGCAACTACTCTACAGTCAATTTTGTATTCAATTTAATAAAATTCCCTCCCACACGCACAGATTTCAATTTTGTAATGAGTCTTTTGTGAGGCACCTTATCAAACACTTTCTGAAAATAAAAGTAAACCAAATCCACAGTATTTCCTTCATTAACTCTTGCAGTGACATCCTCAAAGAATGTCAGAAAATTTGTTAAACAAGACTTTCCCTTAGTGAAACCATGCTAGCTCTTTGACACTATATCAAACTGCTTTAAGTGACTCTTTAATGCACCTTTAATCACACTCTCCAAAACCCTTCCAACTACTGATATAAGACTAATTGGCCTAAAATTTCCTGGCCAATGTTTATAACCTCCTTTAAATATTGGACTAACATTAGCCAACTTCCAATCTTCTAATACTCTTACACTACTCAATGACCTATAAAAATATTAGCTAGCACTTCACAAATAAAATCTTTACGTTCCTTTAAAACTCTAGGATAAAAGTTGTCTGGTCCAGGGGATTTATCAATTTTGAGGTTTCCCACCTTTTACATCAATATTTTCCCCCATACATTAAGTGCTCTGGTTGAGGCATAATAGTTGTATCTATGCAAAAATTGATGAGAACATGTAATTTAATAAGTTTGGCATCTCATAATTTTCTGAGGTCAGCTCCCCACTATCATTTTTAAGAGGCCCAATCCCCATCCTAATATTTTGCTTACCCATCATATACCTAAAAAAATCCTTATTGTTTGATTTAGCTCTCTCAGCCAGCCCTCTAACTTCTAAGTAATAAGCACAACAGAGTTGATCAGAACTACTGATTTACCTAGAAGTAGTAATACTAATAGTATACTGATAGTGGTGGTTAACAATATTTTTGTACCTCGAAATTAAATTTTTTACACTGACTTGTTTAGTTTTATGCTAAGGCTGACTTAGCACATACAATTCATATGGCATAACATACGATAACGAGATCACTGGCAAAGTTACCACTCTGAAAGTGAAATAAATTGAAATAGTCAAATACGTGAAAATGAAATAAAAAAAAGTTGAAAAAAGCACTAAAAACTAGTAAAACTTGAATGTAAACAAAATTAAAAAAACTGACGTCAGTTCATTTGCAGTAAGTTGTTCTTATCTATATGCTTTATATAGCTCAAAAATTCTCTTACCTACACATTTCCAATACACCTCATTTAAGACACAAAACTGTTAAATATTAAGCATTCAACGTTCAAACAATTTCACTCGTTTGCCATTATAAACCCAGTTTCTTACTCTCCTGCTTGATTAGTCATAATGCATAACACGCCGTCTACCACAAACCAGCACTTTTTTTTCTTCAAATTATGTCGCACTTATCTGACGAAAATTTGATGTGATAAACAAGATATCTTAATAATACTTATTTTTTAATATTGACTTATTAGCTTAGTTCATAAAGTATAACACAATAATAATTATCAAATGGAAAAGCAAAATAAAATTGAATGAAAAGTTGACAAATAATTTAAAATAATGACAAATTATTTTAACATGTAGGTTGAAATCCTATGCGGCAATATTGTAAGTCTCTATGTCTTGATCGTGATGAATTGGGTTTGTCTAAAAGTCAAAATTAGAAATGTAAATTCTGAGAATTAGCTAGTTACGGTAAGATGTATTGGCGATCGATTATTGAAACTAGTAAATCATTTAGTGGCTAATAATCACATTATCGTGTTAGATAACTGTTTTTTTCATTGTTAATACCATAGTTTTCATACTAATCTAATTTTCTACTAACTTTGACACTATTTTTTGGCTGAAACATGGCATGGCCTAGTGGTTAGGGCGCTCGACACACAATCTGCGGGTCGCGAATTCAAATCTCATTAACGGACATGCTCGAGCTTTCAGTCTTGGGGGCGTTATTATATGATACTCAATCCCACTATTTATTGATAAAGAGTAGCCCGAGAGTTGGCGGTGGGTGGTGTTAACTAGCTGTCGCCCCTCTAGTCTATCACTTCAAAATTAGGGATGGCTAGCGCAAACAAAAGGGGCCATGCTTTCTTAAGTGTCCATTTTTCAACTGGAAAAATGTTGGGCAAAAAATATTCTCCTATAAGTATGATTTACAGAGTTCTTGAAAATATAACTACTGAAAAACTTTGTGCCAAAAATCTAGCACACGGTCTACATTCTGTCATATTTTTTTCACCTTCATTAAGATAACTACTGTTTTTCATATCTGTTCTAGTTTACCAGATTATATTGTGCTTAGAATAAAAAGGCAAAAAGCAAACAGATTGTAAGAAGGTTTCCCATTCTGCTGCCTTTTTTTCGGTGGTAATATTTTAGCTGCCGACTTTGTTTACCATCCATTCTAAAATATGAAACTCATCACCGAAATGCATACACCTCTGTATATTAGCAAAGACAGGTGTTGACATTAATGTGATCTCCTTTACATTTCTACAGTAAGTCCAGATATAGCAGGCCAATAAGAATAGTTATTTTGTATTAGACTACTTCCACAGATCATAAATGTAAGCTTTTATTATAATGTGGCATCATGCTAAGAAGTGTAAAGCATATATAAGGAGTGGAATTAAAATGGGGATTTCCTTTACCCATTCTGTGAACTCCTTTACTTGCATCTCACCATGTCCCCACTTATCTGTTTTTATAAATAGATCCATCATTATCGCTCACAGATTTGGCTTTATAATTTACCATTCACTTACCTAAAACTACCACCGCTCACATCATTTGAATGTTAGTTATACAGTCAAAGAGATACACATTTATTATATAATCCCACTTTCAAGGACCACCCTTGCAGGAAAATGAGTTGATTTATGACTAATACATTTCAAATCCACCTTACCCTGATCAAATGGACATGGTGGAACCTAAATATGGCGGTAAAAGCATTGTGCATTCTATATATTTTTCTCTGAAGCCAAACTGAAGTAAAGGAGAGCACGTAAAGGAGTTCATGCAATTTCCTGTTCAGTGATTTTTATTAAAGAATGCAATTTATTCTTACCCTTTGAATTATTGGTGATGTTACATATCTGCTCGTTTGTTAATTTCCGGTATAAATTCTTTCCGAGGAACTTCAGCGATACAAGTCCTTTCTTAATTAACACTGGTTTATTCTTTCTTGATACAACTTTTCTACAAGCAAGTGTTTTGCGCCTTGCTTGGGAGAAGGTGTCTAGCTTAAGCTCTGTGACAAAGAACTATTGGGCACAATGGGACCAGTTGAAGCTTGAAGATGGTAGTCTAGTCTGGAGATGGGAAACTGCTCTTTCAGTCGTAGGGGCATTATAATGTGATGGTCAATCCCACTATTCTTCAGTAAAAGAGTAGCCCAAGAGTTAGCAGTGGATTGTGCTGATTAGTTGCCTTCCCTCTAGTCTAGAACTGTTAAATTATATAGCCCTCGAGTAGCTTCGCATAAAATTCCAAACAAACCAAACCTACATAATGACTCCAGCTTCTTCCCAAATTACTCCATAATCATCTTGGGTTAGCTGCTGAAGCTAATGTCAGTAGCCTTGATTAAGTAAAGTGCTGCCACCACTAAGCTGTCACACTCGAGCGTTATTCAAGCATCTCAAAATAATTATTTTTTTTTGCAGACCAAGATTGATTGAACTAAGACTTTTCAGTAAAAGTTCTCATAAGTGAGAAATGATAATTTTTGTTAATTAAGTATATATCAATATAAAATCATATAACACACTCCCTCACTGTAGCTCCCAGTGGCACAGCGGTATGTCTGCAGACTTACAAAGCTAGAATCCGGGTTTCGATACCTGTGGTGGACAGAGTACAGATGTCCCATTGTGTAGCTTTGTGCTTAATTACAAACAAACAAGTACCCTCACTGTATGTGCAGAAGTTATATGCCTTTTAGGTGTACTAAAAACAATGATCTAGAAAATACTATGAAGTATTCTGCATAGACCTGTTGTTATTCTGCTAGACCAGGCGATTGATTCTCGCATGTTTCGCCTCGGAAAAGTCATTCAGTAGCTCAGAAAGCAAGAATGCAAAGCCTTCATGGATGTTCTTTTTTTGGGGGGGGGGACTCTTAAATGTCATCTCCAGTTGTGTAAATTGTTGAGCATGAGCCATTATAACTACTGGAACCAGCCATTCTAAACTGTATTACTCGAGCAGCTATCATCTGATATTCTTTGCCTATCTCTTGTCTTGAAACTCTGCTTGATAGCCTGGAAAGAGTTGCAAAGCCTTTTTGTTACCATGAATCTTGCAATAAACAAACCATCCTAACTTCAAACGATTCAGTGGTAATCATACACTTTACCGTAGATCACTCACTACCTGATGGCTCAGAAAATATGGGACAGCACCCTTTCAGTTGAGTTTTTAAGCTCTTAGCTATCATATCCAGTTGTAAAAACTGGTGATTCACTGTGACTTACATTCTGGAACAAGCTGTCTTAGCTTCATGGTAATCAAATGGAAATAATATAATTTAGTTTATACACTATATGGTAAACCCCACGTAATAGCCGGGAAAGAAAGGATTGCCAGTTCTTTTTAGTCATCGGGTGCTCGATCTATTGATCATCCTAGCTGCATATGATCAGCTATAATCCTTGGAATGTATAATGATCAGGAGCCAATTAATGGTGGCTCAGCCAAATGCTGTAGCTGTCTCTCTCTTCCAAATCCAATGCTTTCTCATTTGGTTTGCCATGAAACCAGACAAGTACCTCAGCTCTTTCCTCCTTATCCAAATGCTTGATCAAACCAAGCACTGAACCACACACATTGAACATCAGCCATTGCACTACCTTTCCCTGAATCTGTTCATTCTATAAAGTGAGATGTTTTAAATGATTAGGAGAGTGGTTCTGATCTTCTTTGTCTGTATCCTTAAATTTTGGGTAGAAATCTGCTTAGCTTGACTCATAGGGTACTGTAAAAGTGTTATAAACTTTTCTCTCATGGTCCTTTGGTTAACACCATGTTGAGATATCCTAACTAAGCAGAAGGCATCTTATAAAAGGAGCAAAAACAATGATTTGCCATAAACAGCTTCTGCTCAACCCCTAGCTTTTCCATGGGTCAGGTCTACTTCAGCAATATACCTTCCAGTTTGAAAATATTTTCCACTGCCCGGTGACCCAGTCTCACTTGCTGATAAGAT